CTAATAAAACCAATACTCGAAGGAAGAAAGTTTCGTTGAATGAGTAATTGAGTTAATTTATATAGGCATTCACGGTTCGATTATTAGCGTTGTTGTGAAGTAATTTGAATGTCCCGCCATGTAAAATGTAGTTCACACCTGCGACTGAAGAGGGTATATGATCTTTAATCGACATCGCAAAATTCCAGTCCGTATTATCTAACTTGTGATTCGCATTAGCCTTAATGAAGTTTCGGAAAATGTATCTTTGTTCATGACTAGCAATAAACAGGAGAAATATCGCGGAACGGCCCTTGTGTTTTCGTTACGTGTATTCCCGCCACGAAGTGACTCGATGCGCCTACCGCGGTAGAAGATCTTCTGTACCCGTCAAAATAGTCGTAACTTGTAATACCTGTTATTAAGTGTTGACTCGTTTCGTTCGGTTGTTTCAACTTATTAATGACTTTCGAACTTTAACACACAATCAAGAATAATGGGTGCTGGCCTCAAACCATTAGAGTTTACGGATTGCTTAACTGATAGCCCCTATTTTCGAGAAAATCTTCATTATCATGAACATGAATTGGAGAAAACCAGCCAACAGATTAAACGGCTCATCAAAGAGGTCAAAGATCTTTTACTAGCTGCCAAAAGTAAGTTTATTATTCTATGTATGCGATAAGACGGTGTGCGTCTGCTGTTTAACAGCTGCTGTCACCGTAATTCTATTTTACTACCGTATTATGTTTCCCGTGATAAGTCGTGACCGTTTCACTCGTAACATTTAGAATAATTAACAATATTTTCAGTTAATCCTGTCATTGTGACTAACCTCCTTTTAATCGAGATTTAGCGCATTTATCTATGGTTCGTTGATTTCACTTCACCATTTCAATTTATCTTTGGCACTGACAAATTTTCTTTCTTTTCCTTTTACATTTGCCATTGCGTCGGTACATGAATATTATTTGTTTATTTGGTATCTTATTCCGTGGAAACTGTTACGAATATGTCCTTTTGTAAAAAATCAAATTTCTTTTTATGTATTTTTTTTCCCGAAGTATTCCCAAATACTGAGAACATTTACTGTTTCGCTTTAACTCTTTTTGTAGGTATTTATCTGATTGATAAGATAATAGTGTTAACTTAGGAAAAGATTATCGGAAGATTTTACTTGTAATTATAAAACAAATAATTATTTTTAGATTTGTCCAGAGCCCAGAGAACGTTTTCCAGAACATTGCAGAATTTTAGCTTTGAATGCATCGGAGAAACTCAAACTGAAGACGAAACACACATATCTCAAAGTCTAGAGGAATTTGGTAAACTTATTGCATCAATAGAGGATGAAAGGGATCGCATGGTATGCAACGTTTTTAGTATATAAATGTGAATAGTTATATAGTTCTACCTTTAGAAGTAATTAAGAATTTCTCAATTTGTTTATACAATTAACTGAAGTGTATTTATTGATAAAAAAAATGATGTCAACGTAAAATCACTATCTAAAAATATAAATATTATGTTTAACAAAATATTTTACCTGCATTTTGTTATTAGAAACAAAAAATATAAGATATATTGTATATATTTCAAACAAAAAATTGTTACTAAACTTTTTTTATTGAACCATTATAAGAATCTTTTTATTAGTATAAAAATGTGATTATAAAAACTTTGTTTTTATAGAAGGAGCTGTACCTGGTTATTTAATGGTATATTTCTTAGTTATATTTTCAAACAAAATTTTTTGCACTATTTTGCTTATGGATTTATAATGTGTTGCATATATTTCAATACAAAAATAGCAAATGATTTAGGGAATTATGATGTACATATTTTCTCGTGTTTTTGAGTGCACAGAAATGCTTTTGTTTTCTCTTCAAAATTTTCTTCAACGTCCTCTTTCTAAATACTGAACCCAGATTTAGGGATACTAAATTATTGCATGTAATTGTTACATATTAGAACAAATTTTCACAATGTGTTAAAGCATTCAGTTAAAGTGTTATGCATAGAAAACTAAAACCTGACTAGATTATATTAGTACTATTTTTATAATGATAGCATAGATTTTATAACAAATTTCGTACTCCCATGATCTTATGGGTAAGCTTACCTACATATCTTTATATATGTTATGCAAAATGAATTTTATTTTGTTCTGCTTGTTTTATTATAATAATACGAATGCATGTGTGTGAACATAGGTCACATACATATGATTACTTTCACCATCAAATGAAGAATGTGTTCTAGTGATGTGAATAATCTCTTAATTTTCTGTTTTAATACTTACCATTACACACCATTTATAATATAGTAAACTATTTCATGATGTTTATAAACGTTTATATTAAATAATCAAATTAAATATTTAAAGTTTATCTCAAATTTGGCAATTATTATAAATAACATATTCTGCTTTAATATTTTGTGCTTGGGTAATTGAAAGAACCTTTCTAAAGAACACATATTTGTACATAATGTATCACTTGATACATCAGTATGTCTTGAATACATTAGGTGAACCATCATGCAACAATTTTATGCATAAATAGGTATATCTTCATAGGTATATTTTCATTTCATGTATTTACATAAGATTTCATTAAGACGTATTATATTTTATTTGAACTTAGTTCTATTTTTCTCATATGAATGAGAAGCTATAGAAAATAGAATAGTTAAATTAAATTTTTATTAATTATTAAAATATTAAAATTATGTTTTCATATGAAGTGTTACTAGATTAGATTAGTAGGAAATATTCATTATATCAAATAAATAATTTAAATTACTTACTATCATTTTTATTTGTTGTGTGATATGTGTGGCACATATATAACTGTCTTTTATGTGTATACACTTAAAAATTCGAGGAAAAATCATTGTTTATAAATTTTATAGATTTAGAAATAATTATATGAAAAAAAAGGTTTTTCTTTTTATTAAAAGAAAGAATTTATTTTTAGCTTGAACGTGCGTATGATCAGATTATACTGCCCCTGGAGAATTTTAGAAAAGAACATATCGGAGGAGTTAAGGTAATCTAATAATGTTTTTGCGTGCATGTTGCGAAACAATGATTTATGAAATGATCTATGGTATTAATACATTTATAGGACGGTAAAAAGAAGTTTGAAAAACAAACCATTAAATTTTGTCAGAGCCAAGAACGCTATTTAAATCTGTCCACCAAAAAGCAGGACAATGTTCTTCAAGAGGTACAAATATTTTTTATATGAAAGAAAAGCTATAGATAATTATATTGTCTAAGATTAATCTAATAGAAAATATATTATACTCAGGCTGATGCAACATTGGAAATGGCCGAAAGACATTTTTGTCAAGCTAGTTTAGAATATGTATTCCTGCTTCAAGAAGTACAAGAGCGTAAGAAGTTTGAATTTGTTGAAACTGTAAGTTTTTTATATACAAGAATCGTCTTCTCACATTTTTTATTTTGTCATAAACGCTTGTATTGTAAAAAATTAATTTTTTTCAGTTGTTGGGCTTCATGTTTGGTTGGTTGACTTTTTACCATCAAGGTCATGAAGTTGCAAAGGATTTTAAACCTTATATGACTGAACTACAATTAAAAATACAGAAGGTTAGTGTTTGTTTAACTTGTTAATCCATTGCTTAAAAATTCATGAAAGGAGCATTAGTATTACAGAGGCACGATTCTAAAACTTATTACTTACATCAGCACTATTCAAATGACAAAGAAGTTGCTTCATGCATTGTAACATTGATTTACCAAAATGTATTAAATATATTCCGTATTGTTGTTTCACATTCAAACTTCTAAGGACTACCCACGATGAATAACATGTAGTATCTTTTATTGTTATTATAATCAACAGAGTTATTTGTTGTTTACATTAGAAGAATGTGATTCAGCATACTCTAAATATTTGAAAAGAATAATTTGGGAAATATGTAACTTGGGTATTTACGAAGTTTTGTGTGGCATTTGAAAGTATATTTTATGTTAATAATTTCACAATCTTTATAATCAGATTGATCGTTAATGTTCAACTACTCGTAGAAGTACCTTAGGCATAACTTCTTACTAAAGTATTGTGTGGTGCATATACAATTAGGATAACAGCATGATAAATAGCTTACTAATTATGAATTTTATGTGTGTGCGTGTGTTTTACAAGACTAGAGAAAATTTCCTTGCTACCCGGGATAAAACAGAATCGCTTATGAATAAAATGAAGGATATGAAAAAGGTATGTAATGTGTTATTTTTGAGATTGTCAGATTTAATTATTAATGAAATTTTTTAATGGAAGTAACAGTATCATGGAAAACTAATATAATAATACAATGATAAATGTATTAATTTCTATAACATTTTTGTAGTCTACAGTGGAAACTGGTGTCAATAAACTTTACACACGAGAAGGATATTTGTTTCTTATGGAGAAAAGTAAGTGTATATTTTTTACCGAAATTAATGTTTATATTGAACTTCATCATGATCCCAATTTATTTTATACAAATACTTTAATTAAACAGAAGCATTTGGTACAACATGGACAAAACAATATTGTACATATCAGAAGGATAAAAAGGAGTTCACAATGATACCTTACAATCAGCTAACAGGAAAGTTTGTAAGTAAAATTTGAGGTGTAGACAATTTTAAAAGCTACGAGTCGTTTTTATTAAATGATTCGTATCACTTACATTTAAACAGAGTACTAAAGAGATTTTGACGTTGGCATCATGTGTACGTCGTACATCGGACACGATAGAGAAACGGTTCTGCTTTGACATCACTACCGTTGATAAGTAAGTAAAATTCGGCTACTTTGCCTTATAAAGATTCTTAAACATTTTTAGCAGTAAAATCTGGAACGTGGCAGTTTAAACAATTTATCTAACCAGATACTGTGTTTTATGTTTAAATGTCTATTCTTCAAAGTTTCATACGTTTTGAATTCTTGGGAATATAAGGTAGGTGATAGATGACCTACTTTTAGTCATATTTTCATATTTCTAGACATTCGAACTCACGTGTAAAATAAAACCATGCTTCCTCCAGTTTTTTACTGAAATATTATTTATGTTTTCATTTTTTTTACCTGTATTTTTTAAATTCTATCAAAAATATTTGTAGATGTATAGAATAATCAATGATACATATATAATATTACAATTATATTTTTCTTTTCACATTTGAATATAGGTATTATATAATAGACCTCTTTTACTACTAATACAAAAACGTTTTTATATGTTGCCTATAATTTTTATTTTACAGTTTTCTCATTTTTTCAGGCCAAATGTTGTATATACATTCCAAGCACTTTCTGAGGAAGACAGGAAATTATGGTTAGATGCCATGGATGGTAAAGAACCGGTACGTATTTTACTTTGTTTACACTTGTTCTAATTTTCCTTAAAAATATTACCTACGTCTGTCAGTTTTCTTAAGTTTATTTAAAGTATATTACAGTATAAAAAATCGAAAATGTCATATTCTTTACTTTCAGAACTGTCCTGTAGTAGGTGCAGCAACGAAATCCGAAGAAAATGTATTAGACGAAACAGGTTTTATGTTTGTGTCGAAATGCATTACTGCACTTGAAGACAGGGGTAAGGTTTGCCTCGTATATAGCGAATATTAATAGTCCCATAAAATAATTCTGTTACAATATATTATACTTTTAGGTCTTGAGGAACAAGGTTTATACAGAGTAGTTGGTGTTGCGTCAAAGGTAAATAAGCTTCTAGCAATGGGATTAGATAGAAGGAAACTGGAAAAGCTTAATATGGACGATCGTTTTGAATGGGAAAGTAAAACAATTACCAGTGCACTTAAAACTTATCTGAGGACATTATCCGAACCGTTAATGACTTTCCGCTACTACAATAGTTTCATTTCAGCTGCGAGTGCGTATAGGTATTCTCTACAATATTGTTTTTATCTAAAATCCTGAAATTAAAACAGTTACTTTTATTCTGTTGAATTATAGTGAGTACATATTGTTGTAAAATTCTTCGGTTCTCAATTTTCATTTCGTTTCTCTCTCTTTCTCTCTCTCTCTCTCTCTCTCTCTCTCTCTATATATATATATATATATATATATATATATGTGTATATAATATATGTATATATATAATTAACGTATTTATTAACACAATGTAATTATTCTCTTTATTCAATTTAACAGAACAAGAAATGAAAGAAGCGCGTGTAAATGATATTCATAATCTCGTTTATCGACTGCCAATAGCGAATTTCAACATGCTGATTCTTCTTATCAGACACTTGTGCAGGTAGAAATTATGTTCAATACACTTTAATTACTTATCTTTAAAAATTTACAAGTATGCATAATTACATTTACATTTCTTTTTAGTGTGGCAAAGAAGAGCGATAAAAACTTAATGACTATTGGCAATTTGGCCGTATGCTTTGGTCCGTCTTTATTAAGACCGGAAGAAGAAACCGTCGCTTCTATTATGGATATTAAATTCTATAATATCGTAGTTGAAATTTTAATTGAAAACTGTGAGAGAATAATCGCTGGTCCACCGCAAGATATAATACGCTCAACGCAGATCACACAAAACCCTGTTCCTTCGAAGTCGCAACGTGTTAATGCCGAGGATGGGTCGACGTCTTCTGGGAATGGCACATCTTTTTTAAGATATCCAATGCACGCTAATATATCTTCTCCGCATGCACATGTAATTTATCAATCTATTTCGTATTGACCATTTATTTTAAAAGTGGTGAAAGTCTGTTTATGTACTCGAAAGAAAATTATGTACCGATAATCTAGTTAATTAAGATTTATTTATCGATAGAAATGCAACCCTGTAACATATCAAAACAAACGCAAATGGACTTGAACCACTTTCAAAATAAACGATGATAGTGTTTTAAGATAAATCACGTTTGAAATTGCGCCTGAATAACTTGTACTTGTAACTTACTTACTTGTACACTAAGAGCATAGCGATGAAACATATTCTAAAACACGCTATATGTAAAAAAAAAAGAAGTTGAAAATTCATTGGAATAATAGAGACTGATTTTCATAGCTCGTTACAAGATCGTATTATGATGGTCCGTTAGCAGTTGTTACTAAGTCGTCCTCTGTCGACGATCGTAAGAATGGTGATTACGAGGAAACAGAACATGCGAGCCATAGAATGCCAACATATTTAGACAGTCGAAGCGGGCGAGTCAAATTAACTAATGCGAACGTTATGTACCATTCCGCAGATAAAGGTTACCTTTTTTTTTCAACCTATTCTTTGGTTCCCCGATTTTATATACATTAACGACAATTAAAAACGATATCTTGTATACGTTTGTAGTATTAACAAGTGGCAACACAAGTAGTTCAAGCGAGTCAATTGCATCTGACCCTCATTCCTTTTCATCCGATTTACCGGTGAAACAAAAGCGTAGTTCCATGATGTCCGTGCATTATGCATCAGGCTACGCCCAACGAAATAATCCATCAGTATCCGTGTAAGTTTTTATTTTTTCTTTTTACCATATAGAAAGAATCGCATTTATTTCGTAATATTTTTTCTTTTCTTGTAATATCTACAATTCTCTATAGAGTTAATACATCACCCAGTAGTGGACGTTCAAGTCCTGGGCAAGTACCTGGTATTTGGTAAGTACATGTTTCTCGTTTGTAAATAAATGCTTTCATGGAATTGAATTTAACAGCCGTACTCCATTTTTAGGAGAGTCCGTACTTTATATGCTTGTCTGGCAGAGAACGATGGAGAATTATCATTTCAACCAAATCAAATTATTACAAATGGTATGGAAAATATGTTGTATAATTTCATCTGTTAAATATTCAACTACGGATATTTATGTATATTCGTATTTCTATAGATCACTATGGAAACACAAAATCTAAGGAGACATTGCAAACATTTCGTTTCATTGGATTTTACACACATTCTCATACATTACAAATACATAAATATCCACGGTCTGTTAATTATACTTCAAATGAAAATATTGGAATTAATTTCTCATTATAGTAAAGGCCTCTGTGGAACCAGGCTGGTTAGAAGGTACACTAAATGGCAAGACAGGACTGGTACCAAAGAATTATGTTGAACAATTACCTTGAATTTGGAAAAACCAAAGAGTGCCTACATTGTTTTTACATTCCGTAATTGTATCTTTCTTTTGTACTATTGCCTATCGAAGCATGTATTCATGAATGTTACGACACAACATTCATGGAACACAATGTTTTTGTATTTAAATTCTTTTGGGTACAATTTACATAGTCAATTATATATATATACAATCGTATATACATTTTTTATTTATTAGGAGCCTCTTTGCTCAAAAAAAGGTCTATATTGTATATAATCAATTGTAGAAAATTTATATATATACATATTATATACATATATATGTATGTACGTGTATGTATACATATATATGTAGGAGCGAGCCGTAGGAACGAGTCGTTAGAGATAAGCGGCGGTTGATAAACCGTCGCCACGCGTTGCGATAAACAACTTGTTCTCCCCGTAGGCCGCGCGATGCTAGGCGACCGTCGAGCATCGCGGCAGATTGTAAAGAGCAACGGTATATGAGATAGATATCATGCGAGCGAGCGAGCGAAATTAGAAAGCGAGAGAGAATTGTAAAGAGAGCGTGTAAACGATGTTTTAGACCACTCCGGTAAATCCTACGAATCTTGGGGACCCCACCGGATTCGTTGGAGTCAGGTCGGAATAAAGTAGGAGGCATTGGTGTGGCGTGTAACCAACTGCGTTTCGTCTACTCGCGTATCGAGTGCTATAGCGATGGATCAAGGAATAGCTTTACAGTCACGCGGTTCGACGAGATATTGTAAAGGCTTCTAACAACGGTTAGAACCAAGAACGAGCTTATAAGGCGGTTGCACGAGCAACATCTGTCAGGCGCGTGGAAACCGGGGCTGGCCGGGACGCCGAAACCTCTCGGTGGTAAAGAAGCAGGGTCTAGGGCGACCGGCGGAACAGGTCGGGGCCTTTGCTGATCAAATCAGCACACCCGTAACGCGAACAATGGTACAGATATTTAGATTTAGCGCAACAATGTGTAAATACGACGACGCACCGCAGCACAAGTACGACACCGTTCCGCGCACTCTTTGGGACCCACGCGAGGTTGCGAGGCAACCCGGAAGTGCGGGACTTATTCGAAGAATGGGTCGCGCGAATCGAGAGCGAGCGAGATAAAATCCAGCGTTCTGGAGAAGCGAAGAGGCGAGGAACTACCGAGAGGAAGATTTGGCTGCGATTAAACGCACTCGGCAGGGTACAGGTTTAGAGCTGGCCAATGAATTCTTAGGGCCCTATACAGTTAGAAATTCGCGCAACGACAGATTGCTTCGTTAACGTCTACCGCCGCAGACCACGTGAAGCAGTGAACCAAGTCAACCGAATATCAGTAAAGACGGTACAGATATCAGAGGTCGGATAGTGGTATAGGTTGATGTAGGAGCGAGTCGTAGAAACGAGTATGTTAGAGACAAGCGACAGTTGTTAAACTACATTGTCAGTAAACAACTTGTTTTCTGTAAGCCACGCGATGCTAGGAGACCGCCGAGCATCGCAGCAGATTGTAAAGAGTAACGGCGTGAGATAGATCGTGCGAGCAAGGCGAAATTAGAGAGCGAGAGAGAATTGTAAAGAGAGCGTGTAAACGATTTTTAGACCACTCCAATAAATCCTACAAATTTTACACGATATTTAAATATATTTGTACTGAAAGATATTGCTCCAGTATGTAGTTTCTAGGAGATCTCATAGGCAATAATCATTTGTTTATATTGCAATAATATATAATATATATATATATAAATATATTATATAAGAATGTGATACGAAATAAATAAATACCAAATATAATCAGAAATTTTAATAAAGAATTTAATGACTTACAAATCTCATTTATTTCATTAAATATTATAATTTGAGTAAAGAGTGATTGAAAGATAAAAAAATAATTTACAGTTTAAATCATTCTTAAATTGATGCTTCATTTCGCCTATATTTGTGATAATTTATACTAAAATTAATGGAAAGTAAATGCATTTAATGGAATAACTTTACGATCTACGACAGTGAGTAGTACTAATATTACTAAACGGTACAGTACAATTTTCTAAATCATCACCTTGTAACTTAATAACTTTAATTTGCATTTAAAGAAATTACTAATTTCTCCTTAATTTTTTGAAAATCAAGGCTTAGATAGATAAAATAGAATTAATAAAATTGAACAATAAATATTTTTTGACAACATATAACTTGATTATTGTCCTAGAGTAATACGTCAGTAGAAATCCTAATGTATAAAAATGTTAAGATTCATTGTATAAGAAAATATACTTTCATTATCAATGAGAATACCATTTGACATTTTTTTACAGAATAGTTCAGAAATAGTTTAATAGAGAAGTCAAAATTTTGAGCCAAACATGTACTTCTATGATGCACATAGGTATGTTCATTTTTTTAATAAATTATTGTTTAAATTTGTCAAGTAAATTTCCATTTCTAATCTGCCTGCTTTCAAAGCATTTTTCTCTACACTATTCCATATGGTACTCATAAACAAAGTATAACACAGCATTGCACTTAAAAAGACGCGAATTACATTGAGCCCAATGTTCACACCTACAGATACAATGGTACAATCTAATCCCATAGAGCAAACAAGTGGAACTGTTAGTACGCAAGCAAATATTAAATACAAAATACGATGACGACGAACACTCTTTAATGAAGTTTCACATATGTTTATAGCCTCTTTCAACGAATCTCTAATATCTACATTTACTGGTTGTGACAGACCTAAAAAGAAAATATTTATAAGCATTAAATACTTGCACAATACAATAATTCAATGTGACACTATATTAATTAATTTACCAGGGCTAAGTTTTAAGGTAGCCATAACAGCTTCATGATCAGAATAACTAAAATCTTTGTAAGGTACACGTTTCGGGAAAGGATGATGAAAATTTACTACTTCCACCTATAAAAACATATTATTAATAAAGATAAAGATAATACTTGATAAGTAATTAAAATTCATGGAAATAATATAACATACTTTATTAAGTTTTGAACTCAAGTATAATATATGGTCTATACGTTTTCCTTCTGGGACCTTCCTTGCAAGTTTAGAGCTAGTATAACTATTATTGGCACACTCGTTGGTCCCTAAATTATTTGAAACGCTTGAGCAAGCATCAGATAAACCGGCAACACCACAAATGATTTTGTAAGCTAAATCTTGCGGTTCTGTGTTAAGATCACCTCCCAATATGGCAAAATCAGCACCACCACAAGTCATTCTAATAAATTGGGCAGTGTCGAATGCTTGTAAAACTCGGTGTGCTATATACTCATCATTATGCCTATTATATTCTGCATGCAACTAAAAGATTAAACGCGTTTAATGTATTTGAAACAAATGTATACAAAATAGCAATAGTTTCTGTGAGTTTACTTACATGTACAGTGTATATATTAACAGTCATACCATGAATTTTAAGTCTACAAAGTCCAACTCCTTTACCACCAAACCAATCTCCATGATGTACTTTGTGTACGTATCCATTTAAAGTCCATTTATGAAACATTACATCTTCAATGGGATATTTTGATAAGACACAAATCCCAGATCCAAGAACACCACTACAAACATTTAAAAGAGTTTTAATACAAATATAATGTATGTTATAGTTTAATATTGAATTGTAAGAATATTCACATATAAATTATTTAATATTAACACATTAACGAGGTAATTACCTGTAAAAGTAATGTGAGTAAGGCAATTGCTCTTGTGTTCTGGCTTTGATCATCTTAAAATCATTAACAGACCATACCTCTTGCAAGCAAATAACATCATAATTTTCAGTTGCAAATTTCTCTGCTATTGCTTTCATACGATCTTCTCTGTTTTTCGAAACATATGGTATTCCCCTGTAAAGTAACAGTGACATGTTAAACAAGAATAAACATCACTGAATAAACAAATAAAAAGAAATAAATATGCACATTTCAATGAAATCTGAACTATTATGAAAGAATTTCTTACCAGCAATTCAAACTTAAAATATTAATTGTTACTTCGTCTGTCATACTTCATAAGCCTTTAATCACAAGTGTTTAACACAAACTTTTTTTTTTATACAATCTCGATTTAAACTTGTTTTGATAATATTTTCTTCCTTGTTGTTTTGTAAGCTTTATTCTCGTTTCGATTTGTATGTCTAAGATTATTAATGATTTCGTTGAACTTTAACGCATTCCACTGAAGTTAACGTGACACGAGAAGCTTTCAAAGAAACAAAATTTTCGTTCTCATTAACGGAGGTTTAACACTTCACTACCATCATTTGTTTCGGTAACAGTATCCATAGGTACAATATTTTATTAAATGCGATATACCTTCTTTTTGACTGTAATTTAAGTATGTTCTAATATTGAAAAAAAAATGATTCGAATAAAGAGATCTGTTAATCAACTTCCTGAGTGTTGCGGTCACGTTAGATCGTATCGTTTGCTCACAACTTATTACGTAGACAAGGCTAACAAAGCACACAGCGAAAATATTCCTTGCCTCTGTAGGTAAATACCTACTGTTTCGCTAGCTTTCGAGTCGTGAACGGAATATACTTAAGTACTTGATACTTAGCTACATAGACTACACTGTAATATTTAAGGATGAGATGTTAAAGAGTTCCGTAAACTGAGAAGTTACGGGGAAAACATTGTACGATATTATCGTACAACCTAATTGCTACATTGAGCTGTAAAAATTGATATTCGCAACTAATTAAAGTAATTAGTTATAAATATAAAGACAAACATAATATAAACATAAAATGTTAAAAAGTCATTCTTGAATGGTACAATTAATTTGAAATTGATACTGCTTAGTTTGGCGAAGGACGTGAGAACTAAGCAGAATGTGGATTATATTTAAACAAGGACATTACAGCAGTCCATAGAGCTACTGCATGTAGGGCTTGAGTATTGTTGATAGGATAATTATCCTATGTTTTCTAGTGAGAGGGTGGAGTATTAGATTTTCAATTCTATAGATTCACGGCATTGTTCAACGTTGCGTCAAAATGTGTTAATTGTATTGTGAATTACTTGAAAATCATTTCATTTTCTAGTAGAAAGATATAAGTTTCTAGTGTACTTAAGTTACTGGGTACCGTAACCTCTTTAGAGGTGAGTAATTTTATAAATAATAATTATTTTGTAATAATTACTCTTTACAAGTAATTTTTAAATGTTTACAATTGTTCACTTATATAAAACATTTTTTAAAGATACGATTTAATAAACGTTGTTAAAGGAGTAATATGATATATAAATTTTTAATATAATTAATTGTGATATAATTGTGAATAGTGTGTAAATAATTATTTCTCTTATGTAGGTTTATTCCTAAACTGAAATGACTACTGACAAAGTAACTTTGGGTGATGCTTTGTCTAATGTTGATGTGCTTGATGAATTTACATTACCAGATGAACAGCCGTGCATTGAAGCGCAACCGTGTTCTGTAGTATATCAAGCGAATTTTGATACTAATTTCGAAGACAGAAATGGCTTTGTTACAGGAATTGCTAAATATATTGAAGAAGCTACAGTTCATGCAAGCTTGGTAAGATTAAGAAATTACTTTATGTAATAACAAGTATATACAATGATTGTTTAGTAATATTTTCTAATGTGCTAATGAATATACACCTATTTCAAAGAATGAACTATTAGAAGAAGGATTAAAGCATGCTGTTATGTTATATACTTGGAGATGTTGCTCCCGTGCGATTCCTCAACCAAAATCGAATGAACAACCAAATAGGGTAGAAATTTATGAAAAAACAGTAGAAGTATTAGCACCAGAAGTAAATAAGTTACTGAATTTTATGTATTTTCAAGTGAGTATTTGACTAGTACTTTTGTTTCTTATATATTTCTGTATGCGTCTATGGTCTTCACATATTAATGATTTCTTTTTAGAGAAAAGCTATTGAAAGGTTCTCTGGAGAAGTAAAACGTTTATGTCACCATGAAAAAAGAAAAGACTTTGTTTCTGAAGCATATCTGCTTACATTAGGGAAATTTATTAATATGTTTGCTGTTTTGGACGAATTGAAAAACATGAAATCTAGTGTAAAAAATGATTACTCTACTTATAGGAGGTAATTATTCTTTTTAAACCACTGTGTTAGAAAAATTATGCCATGATTACATTAATTGAGATTGTTCTTTAATTTCAGGGCTGCTCAATTTCTTAAAGTAATGTCTGACTCCCAAACATTACAGGAATCACAAAATCTATCAATGTTTTTAGCTACACAAAACAAAATTCGTGACACAGTAAAAGAAAATTTGGAAAAAATTGCAGGATACGAAGAGTTACTTGCAGATGTGGTCAATATTTGTGTCCACATGTTTGAGACTAAAATGTATTTAACACCAAATGAAAAACACATGTTGGTAAAGGTCATGGGATTTGGATTATTTTTAATGGATAGTGAATTGTGCAATATCAATAAATTGGATCAAAAGAAAAAATTAAAATTAGATCGAATTGATAGAATTTTTAAAAATTTGGAGGTAGTACCATTATTTGGTGACATGCAAATTGCGCCTTTTAATTATATTAAGCGTTCTAAACACTTTGATGCATCAAAGTGGCCATTATCTTCTTCATCAAACAGCATAAGTCCTCAAGCAGATCTTATGGTGCATCTGCCACAGATTAGAGAGGATCATGTAAAGTATATTAGTGAACTAGCAAGGTAATAATATACATTAACAGTTTATGTAAAAAGCAATCTTCATTTAAAAATTTGTAAAGAAGCTATTATTTTTTAAAAATCATGATATAGATACAGTAATGAAGTAACAACCACGTATAAAGAATGTGGTAGCGACGTAGAAAATAGGGAAACTGCTGAATTAGCATTGCGTGGATTGCAATTACTTTCACAATGGACAAGCGTGGTGACAGAACTTTATAGTTGGAAGCTTCTTCATCCCACTGATCATCATATGAACAAGGAATGCCCACAGGAAGCTGAAGAATATGAAAGAGTAGAGTATATTCTGTATTCATTGTAAATTTTACTACTAATGAATTGATATTAATATATTTTATTTTGGTAGGCTACACGTTACAATTACACAGATGAGGAAAAATTTGCTTTAATAGAAGTGATTGCAATGATTAAAGGATTACAAGTATTAATGGCTCGTATAGAAACGGTTTTCATCGATGCAATACGTAGAAATATATATGCAGAATTACAAGATTTTGTGCAACTTATTTTGCGGGAGCCACTACGTAAAGCAATTAAAAATAAAAAAGATCTTATTAGGAGGTTTGTAAATACCAACATATTTTTAATAAATATATCCTGTGTTTTTAATAACTGTATATAGTTAACTTATGAGTTCAACTGTTTACTATTTGTTTCAGTATAATTGTATCTGTAAGGGAAACTTGTGCAGATTGGCATTTTGGTGTAGAGCCATTAGGAGATCCTGCTTTAAAAGGCAAGAAAGATCCTGACAATGGATTTGGTATTAAAGTACCACGAAGGAATGTCGGTAAGATTCAAAGACAATTTATATTTATAATATTGCGTATTTTCAATTCTTTCAAAGATTATTTCTCTTTTCAGGTCCTTCCTCAACTCAGCTTTATATGGTTCGTACCATGTTAGAATCGTTAATTGCCGATAAAAGTGGAGGAAAACGTACTCTGAGAAAAGATATTGATGGTCAATATCTTGTGCAAATCGATCAATTCCATAAAACTAGCTTTTATTGGAGTTACCTTTTAAATTTTAGTGGTAACTAAAAATTATTATTATTTGTTATATATTAGATATTACGATTAAGGAAAAACAATTATTACATAGTTATAAATTTCTTGTCTTATT